TTGGAAGATTGGTTTATGAACACACATACACACACACACACATAAGAATAATCGCTAATTGAAGTCGTATTGTTTTGTAAAAGCGCAAAACTGAATTTTCTCTTCTTTTACTTTTTTTTAGAGGAGCTCGTGACATTTTTATTTTTGATACTGATTAATACCGTTGCTTCTTTTAAACTGCTGATTGACGACCTACTGATTCACTAAAGTGCTACAGCAGTCCACATATCAATATTCATATACATATATTCATTTTCAGAAAAAAAAATAGCCTATTTTTAACTAAATTTAAAATTTTTTTTTTTTGTGGGTGGGAAACAAAATATGCGTCAATATTACAGACTCAACGGCTTTCTGATGGCAAAGAAGAGTAAGAAGTGGATGATATTGAAAATGACGATAAAGATTATATTGATTCTGAAGTAATTTGATGTTACAGCAACGGGAAAAACAAAGTAAAAATTGGGTTAAATGTTGCGATTGGTACAAAACAGAAAAAAAACTGTATATTTTACAAAAAAAACAAAGAATTCAAAAATATTTCTTTCACCTCTTCTAAGCTCTCTGAATTTTTTTTTTTGTATCTTATTTTTTCTACTTCTACTGTTTACTCTGTTACCTTCTTTATTCTTCTTGAAAAAAAAAGAAATTTTTTTTTCTTCAAAATGTTTAAAAGGTCAAAAAGTCAAGAAAATGTTGTTGACCTAATTTTTTTTTTTTTGCCTGTCTATTATTTTCTGTAGTTTTGTTTAATTTTGACCAAAAAGAAATTAGTTTTTTTTTTTATTTTATTTTCGTTCCAAAAAATTCTATTTATTGAACTGTATAACATTGTAACTGACTTTTGAATTTGTCGACAAATGTTCACTTTTACTGTTTCAATGATTACCGAAATTATGTCTACAAAATTTGCTATCATTTTATTCGTATTCTTTCAACTGATTTTCTTCTTTCTTATCAATGATAATCAATGAAAGTTAGAGAGAATAAAAAACTTTTTTTTTTTCTAACTTTTAGGTTGAAGACAAAATTGGTTATAAAATTATTTATTCACTGAGGAATTAGTTGATATCTGTTACAACAGATTCTTTGAGTGAACAACTTGTTTTGACCTGAAATTAAAAGAGTTTCCAAAAATTGTTATCTTATCTTTGGCAACACTTTACCGCATCAGCTGTTGCCCGGTAAATTTCCGTGCTAACAGATGGTTCATTTCTGTTAACTAAAAATATATCAATTTTTTTTTTTTACAGTTATTAAAAGATCTTTTAAAAAGAAAAATGACTATACCACTAAATGTTTGAGTTTTTTTTGTTTTAAATTTGATAATTGAAGTAAAAATAATCTTTTTTTTTATTTAAACTATTTACGTTTCTTTATTTCTTTTACTATCATTATAGAATCTTGAAATGAAAACAAATTTTTTTCTTCTTATAACAGTCACTGGTGATAAACAGATATTCGAAATTTGATTAATACAGCTAATACAGCTGATGTACTTTTAATACTGTTTGAACAACTTCTTAGTGTTGCTTACTTTTCTGCTTTAACACCTCTATAACAGGAAATCGTGCTATTTTGTACAGTAAAGATTTGATTATCATAGGTTTGAGTCAATATCAAAAGTGTTTTTCAAAAAAAACATAAGGGAAAAAAGCTCTGTAATCTGATGAAGATTTATCAACATTTCAAAAATGTTTGTGAATTTTTGATAAACTTTTTTTGGCAAATGTTTACAGCATTTTAGAGTAGAGGATAAAAATTTTGATGACTAATGTTTTGTAGATAGAAGAGTACAGTTTAGTGGGTTTAGCTGTAAAACTGAGTACCAAAGACAGCTAAAAATAATTGTATCAAAGAAAAAATTAGTTGTTCAAATTGCTATTACTGTTGTAGCTGTAAAATTTGATCGATTTAGAAGAACGAAAAAATAAACGTGTAGGTGCAAATGACATAATATATAAATTAATACTGATATCAAAGAGAAGCA